TTGGTGGCACCTAATGCTCAGGACATAGTTTTATATAAAAAATAACATATTTTAACAAATGACACCTATGTTATTTGATGAATAACATTGTTACTTAGTGAATACATTGTTCAATATTTAATTTTACATTCTGCTAAATGAGTTTTAACAGAGCTATGTTATTAGCATAATGTTAAATTAACATAATGTTAATCAGTTTTAGAGAATAGCACCATTAGTTACACGATGCCAAAAACTAAAATCTTTTCACATTTGCAAGTAAATAGTAGGAATGTTACAGAGTCGACTCCGGTTCAAACTTAGAATCTCAGTTAGAATCAGATCCCATTAAAACAGGTTAACCAACCGTATATAATATACCTATACCTCATATGGTATACGCTTGGTTAAACTCTAAACTATTATATTATATTATACATGCATTTGCGCCGCCACACGTAACTCTATAGACTAATAATAACCTAGCCTCGCATATATGCAAATCTGTACATTGGAGGTAAACAATAGTAACTTACAAATACATTGTAGGTTGAGTTCAATTTGTTTTATGCCTAAGGCTTAGCACAAATTGAACCTTATACACGCACAACACCAGCATAATATAACAGACGCGTGGGTTCTGTAAAACACAAATATGTATTACTAAAATAATAAAATAAGCCACTTAAACATGTCTATATGCAATATGGTTTAAATATTATATATAGATAAGATTATCCTGTGCGAACATTTGTTTCTAGGAACTCTCAAAAGAAATTTATTTGGGGTATTGTTAGTCTTAACGCCCTTCGTGGGTTAGCTTAACCCTCAGAACCCAACACCAAGTGGGTAAGGCGATTCCTCGACCACCGGCTGGGCCCCGTCTCCCGGTCGGCGTATTGGCCATCACCGTTTGGTGATGTACGGCATGCGGGTTGTTGGTCTACACAAGCCAGGTCGCTTGCTTTCTTTCTTTTGCTTATTCAAATTTTGTTAAAGGGCTATTAACTTATTTTTCCCCTGTTACCTGCGTATAAAACCATTTTCTTTCTTTATCTTTCTGCTTTGCTAGATTATTTAGCTTCATCTGGATCATACTGGCCCCACTTTCACTCAGCAAGAAAGGCCAGCAAGGGCTTTGTAAGTAGGAGATCGTCAGGTTGCTGCAATGTTACTGCTCGTACCATGCAGATCTTTCACAGGGAGGCTTTGTAGGCGGGACCACATATACACGCGCCTTTTTAAAACTAACCAAATCACAACATTGCGGCTCTATGTAGAATGTTTCTTTTTTATATTATTTACTGTATTTATGTTTGATTTGCTGCTGAGTACAAGCCGAGAGGTCGGGGGTTCAAATTCCGGGGCGGACTGTACAGGGCGGCAGGTCATTATTATAAACAACAACACAAATCGATGTTTAAAACATCGATACATCGTGCGCATCCCTACTGCGTAGTGCGTACGCCGAGCTGAGACGCTGCGCTGTAATACGAATATTTAGACCGGTAATATATATTTATTTGGTAATTTGTAAGTGCACCTGAAAGAAACCATAAACACTATAGTCCCTAGAAGAATTTAGTTTTAATTAAAATGCTACATGCAGCCCTAAATATAGACCATATATTAGAAAAATTATTTTACAAATAAGTAATGAAAGAGAAGAGACTAAAGTCTACGTTACATGTTTCCCGATCTTTCCGATATTACCGATAGTATTTCTAATATTTAGTTTTGTTTTTGGTTTTCGACTTTTTTTTTTGTAATGATATCTGTGACAGTCTGTCTGTATGCTTGTTTGTCGGTCTGTCACGCGATAGATATTAAACCGCTAAGCCGATTTGGACTAAACTAAAAAAAAATATTGTTCGACCCAAATAATGACACGCATTTTATTTAAATCGCTCAACCCTACGGGTAGTTTTTTTAGGGGTTAAAAATAAAAAAGCATAACTTTAAAACAAAAAAGATATCAAAATACGGTTTTCGAATTTTTAACAAATTTTATATTTATAAAAAATTTTATCAAGCGCGCAAAGCGGGCTTTCCTATCGCACGAGCAGCAGATCGCAAAAAAGTGACAAGGAGGGCAGCTAGGGCAACTTCAAAGATATGTATCGACTCGTAATCGAATTTTATTTTTTTCATTTTTTGTCCGTTGTCTGTGTATCGCTTTTTTTCAAACCGCCGTAGCTCGTAGGCCCTTGATATTTTTCGGTGGACCATATTTTTCCAGTGCCGAAAAGGCCCAAGTCGATTTTTTTTCCATTTTTTCGTCAAATTTGGCAGGTTCCGTTGAATTCGCTTAAGTTTCGAACGAGTTGAGATTTGTTCACCAAACTCGGGAAAAAGGTACTTCGGGACGATAATTCGTTTCGTATTGCAAACGGGCCGGATCCGCCGGAAATTTTCGAGTTTGAAAATTTTCAGATTTTTTTTCCGAAACCAAAACGAAATGGGGAAAACAAATTTTGACGAAGGTAAAAGGCCAAAGTTTGACATACTAAAAGATGAGCTTCATCGAATGAAAACTAATCGGCCGAAAGCCCATTTAAATTTTCTTTGGTGTTTAAAAAAGTTAACCAATTAAAATCCCCGAAATCAAATCGAAAACAGGGGGATCCAACATAATATTAGTTAACAATGCGGCGTTGCCAAATTTAATTGCGTTGTTGCCAGCTTTTGCATAAATTTCCCAAACGAAAAAATATAATTAATAAAATTCATTTATCGGGTGGATCTTTGAATTAAAGTCGACAGGTGACAGGTAAAAGGTGAAAGGTTGCAGATGAAAGGTGACAGGTGACAGATGTCAAGTTGACAGATATAAAGTTGACAGATGACAAATAGCTGATGACAAATGACATGTGACAGATAAAAGGTGACAGATGAAAATTGACAGATGACACAACACAGGTGACAGATGATGGGTGACAGGTGACAGACGAAATGTGACAGATGACAATTGACAGATGAAAGATTACAGGTGACAGATGACAGGTGACATATGACAAATGATAGGTGACATGACAATTGACAGATGACAGGTGACAAATGACAATTGACAGATGACATGTAAGAAATTAAAAAAATTCTAAAATTACTACCCAGTTCCATTATAATATGCATGTTTTTATGCGTGCTTGATTAATATTAAGGAATTTTATTTTATAAAATAATATGTAATACATATATAAATTATGAATAAATTATTATATGTATTAATATATCTGTATACAAATTTGCTGTGATTTATGTAAGGAAATGCCATTTATTTTAAGTTTAAATAAATCTTTTTTTTTAATTTATTATATTTAATTCATAATTTATATGATGTATTTTTATATGTATATTAGGGTGTCCCAAAAAAAAAGAATATTTTTTTTCTTCTCGTCTCTTGTGAAAATATGTTGGTTTGTCATGTTTTAAGAGCCCTGTCAAAAGATCAGCACCATTAAAAAATTTTTAGGGGTCGCTCAAGATTTTTAAAAATTACCAAAATCGTCAAAAATTGGATTTTTTTTTTATTTTAATTTTTTTTCTCTTTCCGATATTTTTTTTTAATTTAAAAATAATAATGATTCTGAAAATTTCAAATCGATATTTTAATTTCCAAAGGTCGCTCAAGATTTTTTTAACTTTCAAAGTAGAGTATTTTGAATGTTTTCGAGCGACCTCTGAATATAAATATCAACGAACTTTTAGCGACCTTTAGAAATCAAAATATTGATTTGAAATTTACAGAATTTTTATTATTTTCAACCTAAAAAATAATATCGAGACGAGAAAAAGAATTAAAATAAAACAAAAATTCAATTTTTGACCATTTTGAAAATTTTTAAAAATCTTGAGCGACCCCTACAAAATTTTTAATCGAGCTGATATTTTGAAAGGGCTCTCACAGCATGATAAACTAACATATTTTTACAAGAGACAAGAAAAAAAAATATATTCTTTTTTTTTGGGACACCCTAATGTATATATATATATTTATACTAAAGGGCCTTGGGATAATTTTTGTTTCCGGATGCCAGAGTAACCACTCGTTTTATAGTAAATCGAGGTCCCCTAATTTTGTCATAAAGGGCATTGGGAAAATGTTGGTTTTGGGATACCCGAGTGACCACTCGTTTTATTGCAAATCGAGGTCACTGAAGCCGTTTTTGACAAAATTTTTGACCTTAAGGGCTTTGGGATAACTTTGGTTTCCGGATATCCGAGTGACCACCCGTTTTATAGTAAAACTAGGTCACTAAACCCGTTATTGACAAAAATTTTGACCTGAAGGGCCTTGGGATAATTTTGGTTTTCAGATATCCGAGTGACCAGTCGTTTTATAGCTATATTATATATATATATATATTACTATATAGTAAATCGACGTCAGTGATACGTTGCCATGTTTTGTAATAATAAGAATAAAAGAAAAATTAAAATTGACAAAACAAGCGAGATATAAATGATTTTAGGGGGATCAATCATTCGAGTAGCCACGTTGCCAGATTGGACCAAATTTCCCAAATTCTGTATTAATTTTTCAAACATTAAAGTTTTAATTCCAATTGCCACGTTGCCAGTTAGAGCGGTTGCGGCGCGATTCCCACCCGCAGCGAGCACAAAGCTCAGCTTGCTGAGCTTGTTTTTGAAATATTTAGAAAAAACATTTATAACTTTTAAACCACAAAACTTGATTTAGATCTACGATAAGCGATGATCTTTTATAATCATTGTTATTAAAAACCATTGAAAAAGATTTCATAAAAAATATTAATAATGACAATAATTGCTATAGCAAAACATATTATGATCCTTTAGTAATCTAGACAAACTTTTATGGTACTACATAATATGTATATTATACGATTTAGATCATCAACAAAAATATACTTTTATGTATTTGAAACATCCAGAAGCACAGTTTTTATTCTAGTTTTTTGTTATTATTTATTTAGTTAAACTTCTGCATTTATGTCTAAATAAAAATGTGTTTTTTATAATTGTATTTTTTAATAAGGAAAATGTTAAAACGTGAACATTTTAGTAGACCACACTTATTTTACTGGGAAAGTGGTGATTTAAATTTAAGTAACTTACTGCCTGGGCCAAAGGGTCCCAGTCCGACTTTGTTGGAATCCCACATACAATTGTTTATTTGTGTTTGTATCTTTGTGTATTTAGTTCCTTCGGAGGGGACTTTAAGCCCATGGTTCGTATTCACCCCTAACCCGCACAAGCCATTTAATTGGCTTCTAAGGAAGGGTGAAACTAAAAGAGTACTTTTTATAACAGTTACTGTTTGTACAGGGTGGTCCACGTAAGGTGACCCATATACTTATCTCAGAAACTACTGGAGTCACAAAAAATTTGTAAGAAACAAATATTCACGAAGTAAAAAATATTTTTAAAATATTATATTTTCATTTATACAGGGTGTTCGGTTTTCCTTGGGACGATACCAACTTTCTTATTTTCAATGGAACACCCTGTATTTTTTTGCATTTTTGGATTCTACCCACTCTTTTAGATATACTTTGTAAATATATTAATTAAGAAAATGTTAATACTTTTTGAGTAAAATTAAGATTTATTAAAATTTCTCTAAATGTAGACACTCGCTAAAAGTTAAAAATAATCAACTAAAAGTTATTATTTTTTATATTATGTAGTATCCATCTCTTTAATAATAAGTAAGCTATAAGTTAATTATTATATTTTTTGGAAAATATCATACAGGGTGTTTTCTATGTCCCGTTGAAAATAGCGATTTTAAAAGTTTAACATCTTGTTTTTCTTCAATGGAACACCCTATATATTTTTGCATAATTGGATAGAATAAGTAATTACCTTTCATTTTATATATATATGTCCTATACCTAAACGTAACAGAAAAAAAAATATTCGCATTTTTCACAATTAGTAGCTTTTTTCCAATTACCTTAGTTAAATTTTCATTATTCAAATAAATAAATTTCAATAACAACAAATAAAAATGCTTTTATATAAAAATATATATTACTATAATAATTACCATACGCGCAAAGCTACTAATTTTGTAAAATGCGAATATTTTTTTTAGGTGATCCACTTAAGGTGACCCATATACTTATCTCAGAAACTACTGGAGTCACAAAAAATTTGTAGGAAACAAATATTCACGAAGTAAAAAATATTTTTAAAATATTATATTTTCATTTATACAGGGTGTTCGGTTTTCCTTGGGAAGATACCAACTTTCTTATTTTCAATAGAACACCCTATATTTTTTTGCATTTTTGGATTCTACACACTCTTTAGGTATACTTTGTAAATATATTAATTAAAAAAATGTTAATACTTTTTGAGTAAAATGAGGATTTATTAAAATTTCTCTAAATGTAGACATTCGCTAAAAGTTAAAAATAACCATTTTTTATATTATGTGGCATTCATCTCTTTAATAATAAGTAAGCTATAAGTTAATTAATTTATTTTTTGGAAAATATTATACAGGGTGTTTTCTTTGAATAATGAAAATTTAACTACTAATTGTGAAAAATGCGAATATTTTTTTTTCTGTTAGGTTTAGGTATAGGACATATATTTATAAAATGAAAGGTAATTACTTATTCTATCCAAGTATGCAAAAATATATAGCGTGTTCCATTGAAGAAAAACAAGATTTTAAACTTTTAAAATCGCTATTTTCAACGGGACATAGAAAACACCCTGTATGATATTTTCCAAAAAATATAATAATTAACTTATAGCTTACTTATTATTAAAGAGATGGATACTACATAATATAAAAAATAATAACTTTTAGTTGGTTATTTTTAACTTTTAGCGAGTGTCTACATTTAGAGAAATTTTAATAAATCTTAATTTTACTCAAAAAGTATTAACATTTTCTTATTTAATATATTTACAAAGTATACCTAAAAGAGTGGGAGGAATCCAAAAATGCAAAAAAATACAGGGTGTTCCATTGAAAATAAGAAAGTTGGTATCGTCCCAAGGAAAACCGAACACCCTGTATAAATGGAAATATAATATTTTAAAAATATTTTTTACTTCGTGAATATTTGTTCCTTACAAATTTTTTGTGACTCCAGTAGTTTCTGAGATAAGTATATGGGTCACCTTACGTGGACCACCCTGTACATCAGAATCAATACCTACAAGTAATTATACTACCATACTACGTTGTAGGAATTGTGGTAATTGTTTCTTCAAAAATATTTCCTATACAATTTATTTAATATACAAACTACTTTTAACATTCAAGTGAATTTAAAATTTCACTTATAAATAATGTTTGAAATTATACGCCTGCTGTTGAGTTGAGTAAACGCCTGGTGCTTCAAGAGCAGAGGACGTCCTCTGCTCTTGAAGCACCAGGCTTTTACTCAACTTTGCCCACCCCTAAAGCCTATAATGAATATACAGAAGTCGCGCACCACCTTGAAGGTGTATGATCTACGGACCCCCAGGAATCCCAGAAAATTGTTAAAAAATATACCTTTATTTTAAATGCTTACTAATTAATTGGTGCACTTATTCTTAATCATCATGACAACAAACAACAATATTAATAAGTGCCAAATACGTTACTTTTACTAGGAGGCTATTTATTTTATTTCAGACTTGACAGAAGCAGACACAGGGAGTTCCTGTCAGGAACTAATAAAACCATAGATTAAATCTATGAAGAAAAACCTAACAAATATTAACATTGAAATTTAATGACCTGCATTTTTTAAGCATTCTCAAAACACAAAATACATACTCAGTGAGTATTACTCACTAAAGGAATACATATCAATATTTAACAGAATTACTACGACAGATGTTAATTTTAAATTTTAACTGTTCATCATTGTCTATGGTGTAATGTCAACGGATAACAATCAATTAACCAATTAATTGTTGTGATAATTAATTGTGGGTGATTGTGGCACATCATAATATTATTGCCAAACGCATGCGTATTGTTAAAATGCATTTTTCCATAAGATGAAACATTAATTCCTAATGAATCCATTGTTTGAACATTCTGTAGATTAGACCTAATCTATATAATACGACTTAAATATATATATACACTGTATATTATACAGTGTGTCGCATTTAAGATGAAGACACCCCCATATTTTCGCTATTTCAAGGAATAGAGATTTGAATTTTTTCACATTCATACATGTTGGTGGGTCACATTTTTTAAGATACTCAACTGAAATCTAAACTTTAAACTTGGCCTACTACGAATTCTTAAACGGGGCCAGTTGTCGATATTTTGCTTCGCGTTAGAAATATCGAAAAAAATTATTAGAAAAAATTGTTCAGAATATTATTCTAACCTCGTATACCGATTTTCATAGCAAAATTCGCATTTCTAATTTATTTATTTTTATTAGTTTTATTATTTTTTTATACCATTTCCTTAATTTAATAAATTATAATTGATTTGTAATTTCCAAAAATTGTTTTAATTATTTATTTAACGGTCATAAACACTATTTAGTATCAAATTTTTACTTTCCATGGTTCCCTTATTATTAAACCAAAAAATGAACTTGTAATAATTTTGTGTGGACCAAAATAAAAAAAAAAAAAATGCGAATTTTGGTATAAAAATTGGTATATGGGGTTAGAACAATATTCTGAACAACTTTTTCCAATAACTTTTTTCGATATCTCTAACGCGAAGCAAAATATCGAGAACTGGCCCTGTTTGTGAATTTGTTACTACTGGCCAAGTTTAAAGTTTAGATTTCAGTTGAGTAGCTTAAAAAATGTGACCCATCAACATGTATGAATGTGAAAAAATTCAAACCTTTATTCCTTCAATTAGCGAAAATATCTTAAGTGCGACACCCTGTATATATATATATATATATATATATATATATAAAAGGTAAAGCTAATATTTTTAAGTTTAAAAATCAATGAATACGCTCCCATAATATGATATTATCTTTTTAAATAACGCTGTGTCTACAGTCCCGATGCGGGATTTAAGTTCGATCCCGACTGACGTCATAATTTTACGATTTCATGTAATTATTACGATAAAACTAAAACAAACCAACCCAAAACCAAACCCAACGCCCAACCCAACACTTTTCAACAAAGGAATATTTATTTAATTACATATTATAATATAACTCTAGCAAAATGATAATGAGATCTCATAAATGATAATGAGATTCTCGAGAAAGGATAAATAATTTAAAATATTAATGTAAAATTAAATATTCATGCTTTCAAGGCGACATTGTATTATTTCGCTATGTAAATTCATTAAATAAAAATAAAAAAGTTGTAGAGGCGCTAAGTATCGAACCCAAAATCAAAATCAATATATTTCTCAATTAAATCATAAAAAGGGTAAATAATAAAGGCCGCAATGTGGTGATGTATCGAACCCGGTACCTCTCGCATTCAAAGCAGGTGCTCTTCCATCTGAGCTACCCAGCTTAATATAAATTTCCTATCGCTCGGAAAATAATACCGATTTACAGTGTATGACGTCAGTAGGGATCATAATGAAGGTACATTTTTTTAAACCATTTTCTGGGATTCTTGGGGATCATCCGCCTTCTGTATCTAAACTAAACAGACTTATTTGTAAAAGCATCTAACAAATAATTAATTTGACTTGGCGTTTAGTGAGTTAATTTAATATTATTTACAGATGGAATTGATGGAAAACAGGCGCGTAGAACAGGAACAAGTGGACCTCTCGGAGAACTGTTCGATCATGGGTTGGACTCGTACACGGCCGGACTTATTCCGATATCCATGTACTCAATTTTTGGGAGAGGAGCTCGTTTTAGCATACCACCATTCCGGATGTTTTTCACCATGTGGAACGTGTTGGTTAACTTTTACCTCTCACATTTTGAGAAATACAACACAGGTGTCCTGTTCTTGCCATGGGGATACGATTTTTCCATGTGGGGCATTATTCTAATTTTCTTTGTGGCTGGAGTATGTATTTATAAATGTCGTTTATTCATACAATTGAAGCACTTCTTACAAAAACAGTCATAGTCAAAGTTATTTATAAATACGTATACGTACACTTATTACACGTTAATTTAGCAAGATATTGTATATGACATTGAAATTATACCTATATTTTTATAACAAATCATTAGGATTAAACAGCGCAAGTCTTTAGGTTTTTATAATATGATTGTTTTAAATAAAAAAATAATTAGCCAGACATTTTTGGACTATGGCTGTTTTCGTAAGAAGTGTCCTAATTTAAAAAAAATCTAGTTCAGTGTATTTCAGTACATTTAAAGGATACGTATCCTATGAGCTACTAGATAAATATCTTTTAAATTTAATGAAATACACCAAACTGCATTATAAATTTGTACATGGTATACAAGTCCAACACTCAATTTTAACAATTTTATTATTTTTTGAAACTATACCAAATTCGGGAAATTACTTTTTTAACCATTTTTATAGACAAAAATATATTTTAAAATTGAGTTATATTAATGATGAGATACAAAATATATTCTATAATATTTTGCAACCATTATCTTTTAATTTTTTGTCCTATAACTCCCAAAAATGTGCAACTCCATGGTTGTTATGGAAACAATTTAAGTAAGGCAGCTTAGGTTAACACGATTAACAGATTATTTTGGAATAACTTTGTTATTATTAGGAATTTTTATTAAATAAATTGTCTTAAAAAATAAAAAAACACAAATTTGAAAATTAAAAAAAAGTATGCCTAAAATAATCTCCACTATTATGTGGTGTTAGTGCGCCATTTTCAGGACACTTCAGAAGCTTAAAAATATATATATATATATATATATATATTCAAGCAATGTTTTAAAATTAAAAAACGCTGCCCACCTACCCAGTGGCGGCTGATGACATAATAAACTAGTTGAAAACCATATATTTACAAAATGTTTTTTAGGTAGGTAACAGTTTCTTAATCATACATTTTTCAAACAAGTACTTATTTTAGTTTATTTGTTTATAGATAAAGTCAACAAGTACTTATTTTAGTTTATTTGTTTATAGATAAAGTCAATTCGCCTTTCCTTTACGTGTGCAAAGTGCTCAATGACAAGTCTGTGGGTAAAAGGCATAAGGGGATAAGTCAAAAAAATAAAATTTTTAACAGTGCCTTAAAAGTGTTCGCATTAATTTAGAAAATACATGGTTAGCGGGTATACCCTTTTGCCAGCACATGTCATATGCCAGCTAAAGGGTATACTCGCTAACCATAAATATATTTCCTTAATTAATGCGAACACGTTTAAGTCTCTAATGAAAAATTGCTTTTTTTTTACTTATCCCCTTATGCCTTTTACCCACAGAAGTATACTATGCGGCCCTAATGATTTTATTTCTAATTGCAATTCATGTGTTAACTTATTTAAATTTACACAAGTAATTATATAATCTACGGTATTTATCTCCATCTTAAAAAATAACAGAAAACAATAACCCGCACCGCGACACGACGACCGGCGAGATTTTTGACTAACTGACCTTCCTCAAAACAAAGTAAACTGAATACATCGGCAACGCGCTGACGGGCATCTTACTATTCTGCCGTGCTTAATGAAAACGCCGGCATTTTCTACTAGAACAATTCATCCTGCGTCTATCCCCGGTAATAAAAAAACCGTATATATATATATAGATACGGTTTTTTGAGTACCGGGGATAGACGCAGGATGAATTGTTCTAGTAGAAAATGCCGTAAAACAAAAATCGCAAAATTGTTGGTTACGGCGTTTTCATTAAGCACGGCAGAATAGTAAGATGCCCGTCAGCGCGTTGCCGATGTATTCAGTTTACTTTGTTTTGAGGAAGGTCAGTTAGTCAAAAATCTCGCCGGTCGTCGTAAAACAAAAATTGTTGGTTACGGCGTTTTCATTAAGCACGGCAGTATTTCCCACGATTATGATGGCTTACGCCTACTGAAACATATATATTCCGCCCGCACGCCGTACACCCCCGCCTTCATAGATACGTCGGACTAACAGTGCAGATTTGAATCTGCCTGGCTTGTAAAAAAGTTTACCCGTATTAACCGTCCTAAAGTTAATATTGAAAATTACATTTAAAAAGTTTGTTAGGGTGTAACATTACAAATAAATTAATAATGTTTTTGAGTAGCATCGGGGGGACTCGGGAGGGCCCCGTTGCCCTCCCAGTAGCAGCCGCCATTGCACCTGCCCTTACAAACAAAAATATTAATAGAAGAAAACAATATTTTGAATTTGGGATTAAATTATTGTCGTCCACAAACCATTGTGAAACTTTTTTTAAATTACCAGGATATTAAGTAATATATTTTTTGTTTTAGATTGGCGGATCTGAATCCCTACAATTTAATTTTGGAGGAATAACGACTGGTATGGTTGTTGAACTGCTCCTATACATTTCTGCATTAATATCAAATCTACCCATTGTTGCCTACAATATATACAAATCCTATAAATATAAAACCGGACACATGCGTTCGTTTTCAGAAGCAGTAAGACCCCTTGTTCCAATAGTTGTGTTTTTTTCAATGTCCCTGTTGTGGATCTTAAAATCTCCTTCTAATATAGTAGAAACGGATCCCAGGGCATTCTTTTTTCTATTAGGAAACATTTTTTCAAATATATCGGTAAGTTTAAGTTAAGTAAAATTAAGGGTTGCCAAATAAGGGCCATTTTAGAATCAAATTTGTCAGTGGAACATGTTTAATTTGAATACACATATGAGACATTCTTTTACATATCGTACGGATTACAGAAAACATATTTTTTCAAATTTTTAAAATGACTTAATTTTTTTACAGCATCTTTTCATAAATCTAGCCGACCCCTATATCGGAATTTTTGCAGAAAATTTATTTTTCCAAAGATATATTGATTTAAACTTTTGATAAAATTTGAAAAAATGCTGAATTCTTTTGTACTTAAAATTCATTATCTCCGGTTCTACTGATCGGATCGATTTCATTTTTTTTTTTAACCATATTACATAGTCTTTTTAGATAAATATTTAAAAAGTTTGTGTTTTGTTTATTATATGAAAAAAATATTTTTTTTTGTATAAACAGATTTTTTGTGTTTGCCCCCTCTATGAAAAAAAATAAAAAAAATACTGTTCTATGCACTATTTATTACTCTACAAATTGAATTTTTCAGAAAAATGGAGACTTTTTTGGATCGGAAGATATTAAATATTTTCGAGCGCGTGACCGGTACAAGCCGTAAGGGGGCATCCATTAATTACGTGAGGCTTTTAGGGGAGGGAGGGGGTCAAGCCAAATCTCATCAATTCTCACGTAAGGGAGAGGGGGGGTCTCGGCAAATATCACGTAATTTTTAACAAAGTATGTTTTTTAATAAATCCAACAGAATCAAGCAGTTTAACGTAAAACATTAAAAATAAGCAGTTTTTAAAATCTCACGTGAGATTAGGGGGAGGGGGTTGAGCCAAATCTCACGACATCTCAGCATGGGGGGAGGGGGTCAAAAAATCGCTAAAATTGACTCACGTAATTAATGGACACCCCCTAATCAGACATCTTCGAAACGCTAACACATTTAGGATAGTGTAAACTCATACATCGTTTTAAAAAAATACCAGCGCTTTTTGTAAATTAATTCTGATTTTAAAGGTTTTCAATAATTTTAAATAAATTAAATTTTAAATAATACAACCTCCAATTAATGAGTAAATTTATTAACTGGCAGAATTGACATTTGCACAAATAAGTCACCAATTAAAAGATGTCGAATCATGGCACTCTTATACAAAATATCACGTCACCCGCCACATGCACTAAAGCTTAATTTTCATGTATCCGTTTGTCCGTCATACGTATGTCAGTTTTTCAATAAAATCGTCCGATAAGAAATGTTCTAATTTTCATGCATACGTTTTTTAATGACGTTTAACGGATTGATTTTTCGACAAATATAAATTAAGTGTCAGTATATTCACTTACTAAATTTACCTAATGCTTAATTGTCATAGTTACAATTATGTCAACAATTGTAACTTTAACAGTTAGCTGTCTAATAAATTTAAAGGTAGGTAAATATACCTTATAAAAAGAATATACTAGCCCTATTATACATTAAAATGTATAGTTTTAAAAAATCAGGTCCTTTTAGTTCTAGTTTTAATTTTTTTTTGTTTGTCCTTTCTTTTTTTCCGTTATTCTTATTAAATAAAAACTTAACAGTAGGTAAAACATTATTCACATAAGGAACGTAATATTTCCGTTTTACAATCTTATTGAAAAAATATAAAAATATTTGAAAATAAATTATCTTAAAATAACGTTAGGCGTCAAAAACATATGTGTACTACACACATTGTGTAGTGACGGATGAGTTAAAATTATTTAACCTTTCTCTGTCAGACGTACGAAGTTGAAACTTGACGGACCGATAAAATGTCATAATTTTCGAATTATAATTGGACCAATAAGAGCGCTCCCGGATGAACGGACTGACGGACAAACGGATACATGAAAATTAAGCTTAATACGTTTGAATATTACGCGCTTGACAGTCCTGTCACGCGCTCGAAAATGTTTAATATCTTCCGATCCAAAAGAGTCTCCACTGTTCTGAAAAATGTATTTTGTAGATAAAGAAAAAGCGCATAAAATAGTATTTTTTTCCTTTTATTTTATAGAGGGGGCAAACATGAAAAACTAGTTTAAAAAATTAATCTGTTATTAACTCCCTATAATTAAAAAAAAATTAATTAATTTATTTGAAAAGCCTATTCAATAAGGTTTAAAACAAAAAAAAAACAAAATCGATCCGATCAGTAGAACCGGAGATAATGGGTGTTATGTAGAAGAGAATTCATCGTTTTATCGCAATTCATAAAAACTTTATATCAACATATCTCTGAAAAAACAAATTTTTTACAGATAACCTGATACACGTATCTGCTTATTTACTGAATAGAAGCGGTAAAAAAATTTTCATGCGAATCCAAACCCTGAAGTCAAAATAGGTGTACGATTTGTAAAAGAATGTCTCATATGCAATTGGGGTTGGGACATGCATTTTATTGCATATTTGGAACCTACGCATACGAGTTTGCTAATACATTTTTTTCTATGTTTCTTATACAATGTTTAAGAACGCTACAGCGTTTTGAAAAACGCAAGTTTCTAAACGGTTTGATAACCCTGAAAAGAGCGAGTGACGGTACGATATTATAACATAATGTGTAATGAACTGCGGATGAATTAAACATGTTTCTAGGTTATACTCAATATTCTTATAAATCTTTTGAAAATCGAGGTAAAGTACATATTAGAGTATAAACTTTTTACTAAATTACGCTGTTAATGGTTTTATAACAAAAAAAATATAACTGTCAAAGAATTTGTTCAGAATTTTTATTTTTGCTTATTCTTCATTCGTGAATCTTGACCCGCCTATTACCAATATACCATTTACATATATTATACCATCGTGTCATGTCAGACTACCGAGAGAATTAATATATAGAAGTAGTTTTTAATATCATGTCCCAGCCCAGGGGGGTTAAATATTTTTTAACAAATTTTTAATCAAATTAAAAATATAATTTTATGTCTTTTACTTGTTTTACATATTAAAATATAAATTATTAATATTTAAGAAATGAAAATTACAATAAAATTTTTAATATTGAAAATTGATTGATTTTTAAAAATAGATCTTTCAGATGATTAACCTCATTTCCTACCAATATAATATATTGGTAGGAAATGAAGTTAATCATATATTATATTTTATCTTCTTGTTATTAAAATTCACTTTAAAAAAAAAAACACAAAAATTACAATATAAAATTATTAAGTACTTAATGTAACAAAACTGAGTATAATACTAAACTAACAAAGCAAAGACATTCCTATTTATAAGTTTTAAAATATGTTGTACGTGTTGTCTCAGGGTTCTCATCGTTGAATAAATGAAGAGTTGCATTTCCCAGAGAATTCCATACCTTGTTATCTTCTCCGATTAGATAACGAAATATGACTCTCGTGAAGTCTATGGTGTCATCATTTTATCACATGCATATAACAGCTCCCCTTATTTTTGAAAAGTTGATGCTATGCAGCAACTTTTTCGCTAAGTTGGATTTCACAAAAGTTATCGTTGGATTCGATGTCTTGTCGTCTTTTGATGGTGTTTGATGTCGTTTCGGATATCGTTTTTCTAGGTTTAATTTTTGTAAACAAATTTATTTTATTTATTGCAACAATGCTAATGACTATCAGAGCTGTAGTCAAATAAGTGAACCATGATATGTTTTTCTCGACGAAAGGTTGATTAATAAGATTATCCAAATCTCTCGAATATTGTTGAAGTTTGTGGTTGACAATTTCCAATTCCTCCATATTTAAGTTATTGATTTTTAAAGGTTCTAATTTAGGGAGTTCTATATTGTCTCGAACATGAATACAACAGTTGTATGGAACGAGAACGGGTTGAGGGTTTTCGATTACGTTGGATGTCTTGCTAGTTTCTGCTTGTATTTTTGTAATGCCGATGGAGGCTTGGCACACTGGTTTAAGTTTTAACAAAGAGTTTATTACCAATGTTTCAGAGTTTATGTTTTGGCAGTTTATAGACACTTGAACAGGTTCGTCGTCCTTTAAGTTTTGCACATTATAACCTTGTCCGTAAATTACGGCACTATGACAGTTATTCGGAACGTTCATGGTGGTTTTTAACAATTGCACTTCACACGCGGCGTTATTGTCTATTGGGTATGCGTACAGGTTGGAGCACAGTTTTCTTCCTGGTGATAGCTGCTTGTATTCTTCTGGATTCTTGACGGGGATGTACATTAAAGAATCATCGTTTCGCGCGATATATTTTTGACTTATTGACAAAACGTGATAAAGACCAGTTCTTTCATCAGGTATAGGAATAGGAAATAAATGGTAGAGAGTGTAGATTTGTTGTTCAATTAAAGGGATTTTTAGAATAAAAACAAGATCATGATTTGTTTGGTACGCTTGGAGTTCTATGATTTCCAAATACTGAGCTATTTGTGAATGTTTAATGGCTAAAGGTAAGTTATTTTTCTCAAGATTTTGAGATATTTTTTGTAATTCTAATATTAAGATGTTGGGGGTTATACATGAAGAATGAATTATCTTTAGGCGGGCAAAGGTAATGCCATTTATTATGTCATTAAGATTGTCCTCCAAAAACAAGTAACTTTCCATTAGTTCTTCACAAATTTCGAAAAATTTTAATTTGGCTTCTACTAGCGCGATCTTATCTCCTAATATGTAAACTGTTCTTTCTATTTTGAAAATATCGTTATTAAATGTTTTTTCGTCAAACGAAAGTTTTTGTATTGTGTTGTTAAAGTTTTGCATAATTGATGTTGTGACTGTTATTTGGTTTTTAACAGATTTTCAACTTGACTTTGATCTTTATTTAATTTATTGATACTGTTAGTGAAGAATTCGCCATCTGATGCATCTAAATTACCAGTAATTGCTTTGAATACTGTACCAAAACCGTTAATAAGGCCTCTTTTAGAGCGCTTTGTGTCTGTAAATATTTCGTCAAATTTTCTTTTTATTGTCTGGGATATTTGTGTTAATAAGTTAACGTGTGTAGTGACTTCAGCTCTAAAAGAATTCATATTATTATAGTCAGGGCGTATAGTGTTATGGATTGTTTTTAAAATTTTGTCGTTATTGTCAAATGCGACGCGTAAGTTTGTTATGTTTCTGTGTACAAGTAGTGTCCATTGGGCTTTGGCCCATTTGTGTTTCGTCATGATAGTATATTCCCAAAGTGTTGTTAATGGGTTCTATTCGGTATTGGCAGAGTGCTGTACCAATCAGCATTAAGTACCTAAAAATAATTAATTTTTAGAATATGGTTTCATTCGGTCAAAATTGACTTTTGTGCGTTGATTTGTTTGGGTATTTAAAAGAATAGCGGAATTATTTAGAATCTCTAAGATCTTAAAAGGACCATTAAACTTGTTTTCTAATTTATTTTTTATTTGGGATTCTTTTATATAAACTTTGTCACCTACTTGATAATTTGGAAGATTATCATGAACATGTTGATCGAAACGGGTTTTGGATTTTTGTTTTTGGGCTTCGGTTCGGGCTCTAGCTATTTTGTAATAATGTGTTATTCGATTATTAAGGTCTCTAATATATTTGGTAATGAGTTGATTTTCATTATAAAGTTTTTCTGGAGGTCTACTAGAGGTGTGT